CCAGATACAGGTGAAGGGGAGGAAGGCAGCAAATCACACTGCCAAGTGTGTACCTATGCAACAACCTTGCATGTTCTTCACAGGTACCCCAAAACCTAAAATGCAATTAAAAAAAAAAAAAATTAGAACTGTAGATTCAAGCTCTGTCAAGCTATAGCATCCCGGAGGAGAAATCTATATTAAGATCTTATCTGTTATCAGAGCAAAGAGAAAACATTAAAAAAATATTTTTAATTGCTATGAACTACACTGCAAGATTTAATTTTCATAATAAAATGCATGTTCTGATTAAAAAAAAAAAAAAAAGAAGAAGAAGAAGAAGAAGAAATGCAACCAGGCCTGCTGTATGAAATTCTCAAAGCCTGAAATATTTACTATCTGGTCCTTTACAGAAAAAGATACTGAGCCCTGCTCTAGATCATAGCTTAGAAGCTGCATCGAGATCTCCCCCAAATTTGTTTAAATATATCTTACATTATTTATACTTAAAGAATTAAAGTAAATTAAATTCATGGCAACATTAAAATGCAAATAAATACTAAGTTTAAAGAGCGAAGGAGAAAACAAAATACTCTTTTAAGCAACATATAAAACTGTCACAGACTTCTGAAAATTCTTCACAATCCATGTCTACTTGCTTACAGATGCATTAAGAGAACTCTATCTAATTACTATAGGATCTGTTTCTTTATATGTATACCAATTCTGCACTGTACTTCACTAACTTTTACAGGCCTGCCAAATTCAGAAGTTTAATTTATCAGCCTTCATATCCAGGATTACCTTTAGGTGAGAGTATCACCAGAAATTCCAGAATTCTCTAGCACAGTAACTACTTGTCACATGTTGGGCAGGTCACAATAAATTAACATTTCTATCTTGAAGATCCTTCAAAACTCTTGTGTAGTTGTGGAAAGAATACACCAATTGTGATCCTGCTGATTTACATTCAGTTTATAAATATCCCTATTTGAGTCAATAACTATGATATAACTTTAAAGATTAAAAAACAGAGAAAGCTTAGAAGTTCCTATAAAAATACTATACACTATCTTACCACTGCCATACCACAATCTCTTCTTTTCATACCTAAGGGCCTTTGTACACCATGACCATCAAGTGTTGCCACTGATCATGTACCAGTTTTCTTTAGATTTCCTTGTTCACATTTTCTTAATTGTAAGAGTAGTATATGGTCATTATAGAACATTTCAAAAGTAGAAAAAACTATTACAACATAAAAATCACCTGTTAGTCCACCAACCAGAACATTTTGCTTTAACTCTTTCCAGTATTTTTATACATAAACGCATACACGTATGTGTGTAGGCGTCTATATAAAATTAGAATGGCAATAAGGTGTTGTAACTAGTATATTTTCTTCCCTAATATTATATCATGAGAGTCATCAGTGTATTAAAAATTCTTCAAGAACATAATTTCAACAGTTATATAACATTCAATCATATAGCTGTATCATAATTAACTTATTCTTCACTACTTTAAAAGACATGTGTCCAGACATCTTTGACTCTGATTATTTCTTCATTATGATTCCCCATAAGTAGAATTTCCACACCAAAAGATTCAAACTTAAAGTCCTTGATACAAATTGCCAAACAACTCTTCGGCTAGATCACACAAACTAGGCCAGGTACACTGACTCATGCCTGTAATCCCAGCACCTCAGGAGGCCAAGGCGGGTGGATCACTTGAGCCTAGGAGTTCTAGATCAGCCCTAGGCAAAAACCCCATCTCTACAAAAAATACAAAATGAAGCCGGCTGTGGTGACACACACCTGCAGTCTCAGCCACTCAGTCTCTCCAGGTAGGCTTCCATTTTAAAGATTAAATAAGCCTGGGAGGTTGAGGCTGCAGTGAGCTAAAACTGCATCACTGCATTTCAACCTCAACCTAAAGACTAAAAAACAGAGAAAGCTTAGACGTGATAGAGTCAGACCCTGTCTCAATTATAATAATGTTTTTTAAAAGGATCACACCAACTTAGCTTGCCATCAGTGCTAATATTTTTAAGACTCAGACTGGCTATGAAAGCCCTTACAAGGTACCCTCAGAGGGCACTTTCAACTATTTGTTTTTTGTTTTTTTTTTTTTTTGAAACAGGGTCTCGCACTCTCACCAAGCCAGTGATGTGATCAAAGCTCACTGGAGCCTGGACCTCCTGGGCTCAAGTGATTCTCCTACCTCAGGCCCCAGAGTAGCCGGCACATGTCATACCTCATTAATTTTTTAACTTTTTGTAGAGACGAGGTCTCACTGTGTTGCCCAGGCTGGTCTCATACTCTTGAGCACAAGCAATCCACCCACCTCAGCCTCCCAAAGTGCTGCAATTACAGGTTTGAGCCACCACGGCCAGCCTTAGTTACTTGATCAGTATTTAACCTCTACAATTTTGTAGGGATTCTTTTTTCTATTCAGACAAGTTTCTACTTTTAAGAGATTATTTTTAATATAATGATCCACAAGCTTTTTGAGCTTTACTTGCACATTCTAAAGTAATGAAATGATTTATAAACTTTAATAAAATATCAAATAAATGTTAATATATTTTTTTTTCTGAATTCCTACTATGATACTCAAAAATAGTCTCCAGGATTCTGATAAACTTTTAAATTCTATTTAATCCCAATATTTATGATTTATCACGGTGTTCTTTCCTAAGGAAGAAGAATCCAAGATAATATAAATAATATATATGATACAAGCCACTGTCCTTCTTATTTAATAACTAATAATTTCATTAAAACAGCCTACAGACACAATTGATAAAAGCCTTTTAAGAGACCATCAATGGGCCAGGATTTAAAGCCTTAGAGTAATGAAAAATATACTCCATCTGACTTTGTAAATTTTACATGTATTTAATTTGAAATTAGGTATTTTCAAAAGTTAGATCATAACTAATCTATAAACAGGGTAACCAAAGTATCTGTAAATTTTTACTTTCCTTTTCTGAATACACTCTTAATGAGTGTTCAGTATTTATTAATAATACTAATGACAAAGAACCAATCAGGCATCCTGGAGAAGAAAAATATGCTAGCTCAGCTGTATTTAAAAGTAAAACTACTTATAATAATGTATTCAGGCCTCCTAATTGTGGTGCAATTTTTAAGGTTTGTCTCTAAATCTAAAATGTATTAATAGAAAGCTACTACGAAATACAACTATTTCACTAGCATCTTCCCTCACTCTTTCTTTTCTGAGATTATTTTTCCTAAAATAATTCAAATAAGCTTTTGATTTAAGCACTTGTTCTTAACCTGTGGCATATGGATAAAATGTAAAAGTTGTTAAGGTATTGACAAACTGCTATAAAGCTGTTCTGTTATCAAACTGTTTTCCTGAAAATCTAAATACTCTCATTCTTACAACAACTTTTCGAGTTTGTGGTCTCTTTCAGTTGTTGTATACCTTGTTCAACAAATATTTATTCAGTGCTTGACTGAATAAATATTTAGTCAAGTTCCTCCTTAAGAGCAGGAACGGCAGATTTACACTCCTGGCATGTGGCAAAGAGCTTGTCCCCTAATAGATGTTTAGTAAGGTCTTATAGAAATGAACTGTGCATTAAATAACAGGGATAAGCTCATATTTCATTTAAAGATGAAACAGTTATTAACAACCACTTACTTCCTGTTTTCACTTACACACACTTCCATTTCAAAGATTAAAAATACCATCCAAAGGGGAGACTTTTTGTTTTAAAGTGTTTCTAAAGTAACTTACTTGCTGATTTCTTTATACTGGGCTATCTCCTCAATATAAAGAAGGTCATGTAACCGTGACTGATAGTTGGTCTTGGTCAATGACTTGTCTAAAACGGACTGGGTAAATAGCTGGTCAGCAGAGAGGGGAATTTGGTATCTGATAAGAAGGCTCTTCTCCAAATCAGTAGTTTCATTAGGTTCAAAATCTATAATAGTCTTAGAGGAAGAATCCCAACGCTTAGCTGTGGTTACTAGCTGCTGTTTTGCATGCATCAGATATTCGAGATCTAAATGGAAACAAAACAAAAAAAAACATTTATAAAGAAACACAACATTAAAATTTTTAAATAACATCAAAATTCTTAAATAACATTAGAATTCTTAAAGACATTACATATTTTGGTATGAGAACTGTATATTCTAGAGCTGAAATTCTTAAAAACAAAACAATACAAATACCCATTGACAGAATATTTTCCCCGACTCGAGAAACAAAACAAAACAAAATAATATTAGCATAAATCATGTTTTAAAAAAAAACTTTTTTATCAGGCTAGGACATGCCAGAAATTATTAACATTTTTAAAATACAGATTAACATTTAGAAATTAACTCTTCAGTCAAGAGAAATCTGATCTGTGTGAAAAAGATATGATATACTCTTCATAGGTTTTATCAGATGATAATCACTTTCTTTTCCTGCTACCAATACCCATCCCATTATAAAAAGAGAAGATCAAAAACTGTAAAAGGTTAAATCTTTTCTTAAGCACAATGATACTACAGTATCTGAAAGTCAACTTACTAGTAAAACACTGCTAAGTCCTTATTAAAATGCAATACAATGCCATTCAAATGTCATTTCCAAAAAATCCAGGTTAGCCTCCGTTAAATTATACTGTAAGTAGGGCACAATATCAAAACAAATAACTGTTGAAGTTCTGACTTATCAGGGGAAAAAAGTAGCACAATACCGGCACAAGGTGAAATCCGTAGTAACATAAACTCTATGCACGCGGTTTGCTCACTCTATACGGAGTGAAGATTACTTTTCTATTGAATGAAACATACGTATACCTATAAAAAGAAAACTTAACCAAAAGAAAAAAAATGTAACTTGACTGATTTATTACACCAAGATTTTGACTAACATAACTGGAAGGACAGTTTCACAACACAGATTAAAATTTTAGGAAGAAATATTTAAAAGTTAGGCAAATATCAGTCTCCAAAGTACAAATTACCCTCAACTATCTTTGAAATGACAACACAATGCATAATTGCCATGTCTTTCTCAGAGATTCTGCAACATTTAAATGTTACATAGACATTATAAACATGAGCCTAGTCATTCACCAAGATAAATGTCTCAATAGTGGCAAGCAGCTTATCCTAATAATCTTAATAGTTTCTAACCTTTGTTCCTTGAAAAGGCATTTTTACATGCCAGTTTTATTTCTAAATGGCAACACAAATACCATTATAATCATCAAATGTAAAGATGGACTGCTTATTAAAAACTTGCACTTTAAAAATATACCCTGGACTGGGGCTGCCCATGGTGGCTACCGCCTGTAACTCCAGCACTTTGGGAGGCCAAGGCAGGAGGATTGTTTGAGGTCAGCAGTTCAAGACTAGCCTGAACAACATAGCAAGATGCTGTCTCTAAAATACATAAGTAAAAGCATCAAGTGATGGTGGAGTTCAGATGAAATTTTATATAATTTCTATTTCCACATTGGAGGGGACTCTGATTTACCTTTTCTAGCATCTCGTTATTTTTCTGCTTTGATGATAAAAAGTTCTTGAAACTTATTTTAAAACCTTTGCATCAGATAAATTAAAACAAAATTTAAATATATAATAAAATTAGCTATCATAAAAAAAAAAACTTTAGATTGGTGACCTGTTTTTGCAATAGCCTCACAAGCAGAAGTTTCCTAAGGTATACTAACCACATTTTCTTCCGAAATCACTTTTATGGCCAGCCATGGTGGCTCACTCCCATAATCCTGGCACTTTAGGAAGCTAAGGCGGGTAGATCATATGAGGTCAGGAGTTCCAGACCAGCATAGCCAACCCTGTCTCTACTGAAAATATAAAAATTAGCCAGGCATTGGTGGCAGGCACCTATAATCCCAGCTACTTAGGAGGCTGAGGCAGGAGAATTGCTTGAGCCTCGGACGTAGAGGTTGCAGTGAGCCAAGAGCATAGGGAGGGGGAAAGAGCAAGACTCCATCTCAAAAAAAAAAAAAAAAAAATCACTTTGAAATTGTGAACTGCCTTATTATTCATTAGACCATAGCTATAAAAAGTATTGAAATGTTATAAATGCCAACACCCATAAACTAGATTATACCATCACTAAACATCAGGTACTAATTATTAGCAACATAGCAAAGAGGTATATAATTTTTGTCCTTAGTTCAAAAGCCAAAAAGAGAAACAGACTATTACACTGACATACCAAATAACCAGCTCTTTAAAAATAAACAAAAACTAAACTCTACATAATAATATAGAATCTATTTAGTATGTAGTTTTTAAAGAAGGTCTAACTACTCTTTGGCCGTGGGGAGATTATATTTTATAATTCTATTTTACATTTTACTTTAATAAAATTAATTCAGACTATGCCTAGGCTACTATTACGTTCATATACTTTCAAGTCACTAGTTATTCCTAACTGACGTTTAAGTAGCTGAGACAAGAACAAACCTAACACGGTAGAGCTTTCCCTTGAAAAAGCTTTTTGAATAACCTAATATACAAACAAAATATAGAAAGCCTTTCTACTCTGGGTTAGCAGTATCAGACTTGTGGGGAAAAGTGCCACGAGCAATAATAGTATTATAGTATTTGTTTTTCTCATTTTATCTACATAGTACCCTGATTTCCACCTTTATTTTACAAAACTCTTAAGTGCTTGTATCAAAATATCACATATACTTCATAAATGTATACAACTATTATGTATCCACAAAAATTAAAAATTAAATGCTAAGTGTCTTCAGCAGTTAGCACAGTAATTTCAAAACAATTCTCAATACTAAATTTTATTCCATTTTTTTTTTTTTTAATGACTTTAAACAGTGCAGGGGAAAGGAAAACTAGGGGAGCAAAAAGAATCTTGAAAAAAAAATCCANACACGTCAGCAACAAAAAGCCTACAAACTACTGATCTAAGTCTTCAACTTGGATATCAAAAATGAACTGTGGCCAGTGACTCCTACTAAGGATACAGTATGCAAAACCCATTTCTTTTTCCCTCCTTCACCTGAATTTGAGTCAAACTTTCGGCTCCTTTCCTCTCACTTGTACAAAGAAACTTACTAAATCTATGTAATGACCCACCTAACTTATAGTGCTTAAAGGTCACCTTGTAAATACAGGAAGGACGTAGGTCCCTTTTGGGGACACTGGGCATGATTCCTACTGGGGTTCTTTGTCATCTCCACCTTCCAGCACATGTGTACCTGCTAACACCTTAGCACTCAGGGCAGCCTGAGCCAGTGCATCCTTGGCATGGATTTTCTTCAGCCTAGATTAGGCTAAATGAAAAACACTGGAAAGATGAGAAGTGGCTGGGCGCTGTGGCTCACACCTGCAATCCCAGCACTTTGGGAGGCCGAGGAGGGCAGATCACCTAGGGTCAGAAGTTCGAGACCATCCTGGTCAACATGGCAAAACCCTATCTCTACTAAAATACAAAAAAAATTAGCCGGGCCTGGTGGCTCACGCCTGTAGTCCCAGCTACTCAGGAGGCTGAGGCAGGAGAATTGCTTGAACCCAGGTGGCGGAGGTTGCAGTGAGCCAACAATGCATGACTGCACTCTAGCCTGGGCGACAAAGCAAGACTCCATCTCAAGAAAAAAAAGAGAGAGAGAGAAGTGAGCAGGATAGGATCAATATTCATAAAACCATTTAGGAAGGGTTTAACACTGACTTATTAACCAAATCCTGTAATATAATAAATCTCAAAGCAAACCTGACAGAAATTACAGAACTATGGACTGTGTTACTCTGAGATGTGCTAGGCAAAAACTATAAATAGATTTTAACAGAAATCCATAAGAAAAAGTTAAGGATAATTAGAATACACCTAATCTTTTGAAGATAACAGTCTTTTGAAGGGCTGCCGCTATCAAAAACAGAATTCAAGGTTGAAATAACTAGTCTGACACAAGATACATTTCCCAACTTCCCTTGCCCTTCTGACCCTGAGAACAGCAGTGCTTGCATTTCAACCATGTATTTACTATTCTAATAAAGTATCCAAAGGGTGGGTTTGTTTCGTCTTGAAGTACATAGTACAGCAGACTTGAAAAATACCTTTAACAGGAACTGGAGGGTAGGTAAGAAGAAAATAAGGGTGGAGGCGGGGAATTGAGTGTTCTCAGTACACAGCACAAGGGCTGACACATAAGAGGCAGGGAATAAATGGGTGTTAAATATGGAATTTTTGAAAACCTGCTATGTTTATCTGGGACTTAGAGAATGAGATGAAATGCTTCCTAACTCCGAAATCAGATACCACAGTCTTCCTTAGAAAATATTTTGGTATGTGGTTTTACAAATCTTGACTGCCCAAAGTAACAATACAATCCCACAGTAATCCCAAACTACTGCTTCAGTGATCCATTTCTATATCCCGTCTTTCACCCAAATTGCCCCACAGAAGCAAGGTGCGTATCTCTTAGGTTGCCCGTATTAACTGTCCCTATTTTCTCTCTCTGAAAGAGGTGAACAAAAAGGTAAAACAGAAGAGTAAAAGCATTAAGAAATACCTCACGCTTTTTACATGCTTTTACTCCATTTCATTTATCTTTTATTGACAAACTATCTGTTAAGTCTATTTTTCTAGTCACCTAATATTATATAGATATATAATATGTTCTTAACTTACCAACAACTTTGAGTTGGGAATATTTTTTAAGATAGGCTAAATTTTAATGCTAACACAGACAGCTAGACCCAAACTAAAGAAATACAGGATACCAAGTTTCCATATTTAACTACAAGGGTTCATTTTCAACATGTTGCTTCCAGATATTCAAAACAGAATTCCAAATCAACTTTGCCAAATAAAAATTTTCCTTTCATCAAGTTGTGATGTAAACCATAAGAATGCAGTTTGTTTTCTAAACAAGGGGATAACTCACTAGCTTCCTTCCTTTGTAGATGCCTTCTGCCACACATTTTTGAAAAGCATATCCTTAGTCCAAAAACATTCTTAGTATATAGTATCTTTTTCTGAACCTGAATCTCCCCAACAAGGGAAAAAAAAAAACAGAAAAAGCAAAGCTAAAGTCACTCGTTTCCTAAAGAGCTTTCAGGATTGTCAAAATGACTAGAGAAAAAAAAAAAATATTTGTTTGTGGTCTACAAATAAAAAATGTCTGGATGCTTTAGGTATTGTGACCATAATTTAAAAAAAGAAAGAAACAAAGAAACCCAAAACCTATGTTTATTTTCCTCCAATTCAAATTTGAATTAACTAAAGTCAGTAGGACTTTTAGTTCAATACTGAACAATTAACTAGAGAAATATAAGCATTTGCTATATAACTTGATTTTAAGTTTCAATGAGTAACACACTAACACAATTAAGTCACATGAGCATATCCCTTTGACAGACACCAAGAGCCAATGATTAACTGAGCTACACTGTGATTCTCTAAGAGGGAAATAATGCATGCTGAATTTCTAAACTTATTTGTACATGGAATTCTACACCTTAGGTGTTACTATTAATTTTGGTGGAACACAATTTAGAAAATGCTGAGCTAATAGCCTAGCATGGTCCATATTTATAACTTCATGGAAGAAAAATATGTTTCCAGCATTCGTTTAAGGATAAAAACTTGCTTAAAAACAATGAACGGCCAATCAAGTGGAAGATGCAATAAGTATTTCCCACTGAGAAGGAGTAATCGCCAGAAAAAAGAAACATACTGGCCAGGCATGGTGGCTCATGCCTATCAACTCGGCACTCCGGGAGGCTGAGGTAGAAGAATTGCTTGAGCCCAGGACTTCGAGACCAGCCTGAGCAACACAGCGAGACCCTGTCTCTACAAAAAAAAATTTTTTTAATTAGCCAGGCATGGTGGTGTGCACCCATAGTCTCAGCCTCAGCTACTTAGGAAGCTGAAGTGGGAAGATCACTTGAGCCCAGGAGTTCAAGACTGCAGTGAGCTGTAACTGCACTCCAGCCTGGGTAACAGAGCAAGGCTCTGTAAATAAACAAACAAACATATATATATATACACACATATATATACACACACATATATATATATTTCCCAAATTCCAGTTTCGTCGGGCGCTGTGGCTCACGCCTGTAATCCCAGCTCTTAGGGAGGCAGAGGCGGGACGATAGCTTGAGCCCAGGAGTTCGAGACCTGCCTGGGCAATATAGCAAGACCTCGTTCTCCACAAAAAAGAAAAAAAAAAAAAAAAAAAAGTGTAACTTCCAAATTCCAATTGCACAGAATCACTGAATTTCTTTGTGTACGCAAAAAACAAATTATAATTTATAATTTCAAAACCATATGGAAATATGACAGATCCCAGACCTAATTCAATTCCCAATTGCATTTGGCCAACTTATACCTGGAATGACACTTTTCTCCTAATTCCAGGCCAAGGAAGATCCAATGATGAACTGGCTGAGGCTGGAGATCAAATTAGCCAGGCTGTCAGATTGTCACCAATTTAACAAAGTAGTTATCTTGCTCTCAATGTCTCTGAATGTTGTCCACACAAGTTATTCCAGGAAAAGATACAAAATAGGACACTGCCATTTTACATTTTTATTGTCTCAGAACATTTATAAAATTGTAATTTCACATAAACCAACTGTTTGCCCATAAACATATTTTTTGCTGACAAGGACTCTCCTGTGATAATCAAAAACACTAACGCTAATAGTACTAAGATAAAAGCAAGAAACAAATATTACACCACTTATATCTTGCTTTCATTTCTTTACAATTCTGTTAGGACTCTCCACATAATCACACTGAAACAAATGTAGTCATGCAATAAAAATTTTAAGAACTTAACAAAAATGGTAAGATATTCAATGACATCCATTTTAAGGGTGGGGAAATTATCAATGAGCTAAAAATTCGCCTAAGTCATTATGCTATTGACCAAAAAATATTAGCCAATGTCATCTAGCCTGCCTAAACCTAGACCTAAGTTTTCATTTCCCCAACTTTCAAAATCTTATATAATAAAATGCATTTGTAGATTTCATATTGTTCATTATTTTTCTTTGTCTTTAAACAAATTTCACTATGTGAAATCATTTTAATGTTTCCAAATTAGTCCAAGAAAAGGCTGAAGTTTTTTCAGTTATTTCCTATCACATAATTAAAGAAAAAATCTTATTTAAAGGAAAAAAGGCAAAGACATCAAACTACAAATAAGTCACTTAAAAAAGGATATGGTATTATTAAAAAAGAGGAGCATGTCCTCGTCTGTATAAATCCCCTCTACCATATCTGAATGAAATGTAAAACTTAAAATATTTTCAAACTGATATATTAGAAACATCAGAAAGAAGACTTTGTTTCTTCCAGCTACCAGACTCAAAACATATGTCATCTTGGAAAACTACATTTTTTGTGGAGTTTTTTGTTTGTTTGAGAGAGTCTCACTCTGTAGCCAGGCTAGAGTGCAGTGGTGCGATCTCAGCTCACTGCAACCTCCGCCCGGGTTCAAGCGATTCTCCTGCCTCAGTCCCTGGAGTAGGTGGAACTACAGTCACACGCCACCATGCCCAGCTAATTTTTGTATTTTTAGTAGAGATGGCGTTTCACCATGTTGGCCGGGATGGTCTTGATCTCTTGACCTCATGATCTGCCTGCGCTGGCTTCCCAAAGTACTGGGATTACAGGTGTGAGCCATCGCACCCCCAGAAAACTTCGCTTTCAACTCCAATACTGTGTTGTTGCCAAGATCTGCAGGCACTGTGGCCTCAGGGGCTCATGTCTTCATCTCTGCTTTTTAATTCCTCTGGCTGTACCCTAATCCGAGTCCTCATTTAAAAAAAAAAAAAAAAAAAAAAAAAAAAAAAAAAACAAAAAAAAACCCAACTCTTCTCTTTTCCTACGTTCTTCCTTTTGTGTATAAGCCAGAAATTATCCTAATGAAGGCTAATGATAAACATAATAGCTACTATTAAGTAAATGTCTTCTATGAGCCAGATGTCCTACAAGGTTTCAGGTTCTCACAATACTCTATGACAGATACTACTAGCCCCATTTTACAGATGTTCCCCCATGAAGCTCAGAAAAGTTAAGTACTCTGCCCAGGCTCACACAGATAGTAAGTAGAAAATCAGAGCTCAAATCCTATTCTATTTGACCACCGCTATTCTTCTCTGACTAGAAAAGTAACATATATCTGAGGCAGAGGTAGTTAAAGTATCTTTACTCTTCTCAAGCCTATGAAAGTGTCCTGAACTCCTCTTCATCACCACCTTCTCTAATTATCATCTAATAGTATCATTCTTTTCTATTTTACTGTAGACATTTAACATTTTATATTATTCATTAAATATTTTATTAACTAGTAAGAATTCTTGACAACACTGACAACATTTCTATGGGTAAAAGAGACTGAGTTGTAAGCCACTAATCTACAAGCAAACTTCTAAAATACAGCCCACATGTAAGCCAAGAACATCCTTTACAGTTATATTTGAGGATAGGGAATGTATGTTGGTCTCTCTTTATGACTTGAATCTCTTTATGATTGAAAAAGGATGCTGCCTAGTAGTTCTGAAAAAGCAACTTACTGGTATAGGGGTAGGCAAACTAAAACATCAAAGTTAAATGCAGCCATTGTTTTTAAAAATAAAGTTTTATTGGAATACAGTCACGCCCATTCATTTATGCATTGTTGAGGCTGCTTTCTCATTACAAAGCAGAGCTGAGTAGTTGCATCAGAGACACCTGCCCTGCAATACTTACAATATTAACTATCTGGCCCTCTGCAGAAAGAATTTGCCAAATACTATGGTAATAGGTATAAACCAAATAATTTATTTTTGTTTTATCAAGTATCATATCTATTTAGCTATGGAAATTAATTTATTCTGATTCCAAAGAGTACTGGAAAGATGACAACAATTCATACTAAAGAATAAAAACAAGTAAAAGGGATCAAAGTCAGTGGGAAATAAAGGTTAAATGAAGTCTGGGTAATATTAGCACACGTAGAAGATGTCACCTAATTGTTAAATTTGGGCACCATCATTGTTTCAACCTTACAAGCAGCTAAAGTAAAGAGGAAGACAGACCAATTTCACCTTTTACGCTATGTGAAAACAAATAAAATCCTAGTATTCGCTCATGAGAAAAACAATTATTCCAGGTTCTCATGAATGGGACATTGTGGTACATAGTAAAACGTCCTCCGCAACATGGATAGTTATAAGCAATACAAAATTAAGTTTCATACAGTTCTGCTTTTTGAAGTGTTTGTTAAATAAATATTTAGCTTTCGTTAAAAAGAATAAAGCATCTATAAATCCAACTAAGAGCAAAGGAAATGTGGGCTAACATGCCCTTTCTTTGTCCTGTTTAATCTTGGCATAAAATTTAGGTATAGGCAATAAACTGACAATGTACAAAATAATTCCTTATGTCACACTTACATGTTGAAACCAGGGACCTTGTCCCAAAAACAAAGAGCAGATTTTATTAAAGGCACCTTGGCCTCTTTAACACTAGTGGATGCACAAAATGATTTATGAAGACTTATTTTACTGAAGACTTTTCTTTCAGAAATAATGTACTAACATCAGCAAAGTTAACTAGTCAACAGGACATGAAAATAAACATTATAGGTATAAACACAATTACCATAAAATGATATTCTACCCAAACTAATATTGAAAGATATTACTGTGAAATGAAATTGGTAGACCAAAGCAAGCCTGACCATCTACTCCTACAAGTTTGGGGAACCTCAAAGCTCAAGCTGTGCCTGGTGGCTATAAGAATAAATCAGGGCACAGTGTGAACCATTATAAGCCCATTACATAGTAAATGAGTCAATTAATTCAGGATTTTTTCTTTATTATTATTACTCCCTTCCTATCTATGGAATATATTTAGAGGCCAATACATATTTTTGAAAGTTGCTTTTTAATACATCGTATCAGGGGGAAAAAAGTCTAAATATTACCTTCTGTAGAAGCTGCATCAATCATTACTCTTTGCATCAGTACTGGTTCCAATCCGAAGTCGAAAACTATGGTTTGGCGAAAAGTTCCAAATATTTCTGTGTTAAATGCTATCCCGACTTTATACACATAATGATCTAATCCATTTTGGGCCATCTTTCCTCCTATCCATTCTTGACAGTTTTCTGGGACTTCTTGTGATACCTGGGTAGTGCTATCTCCGGCAGATATTGCAATGATACTAAAATGAGGACGATGAGCATCATAAAGCAATGCTACACGATACAGCATTCTTGCAGGCTACAAGGAAGTTAAAATAATTCATTGAGTACAAGGGGGTAAAAAAATCCAATTGTAATTGGGCTCGTCAATGAAAATATTTCCATAAGGGGCTTTTACTTCCCCAAGTTTCTAACATACTATGTTTAAAACACAAATTGTGCTTAAAAGCCATTTAAGAAAAAAATCAGAATTTTTTTTAAAAATCAGTTGTTAAAATTATATATTTATGCTACATTGATAGCCTCCCTTCTCTTCCTGTAATGTGTTCATTTTTCATTGTGGCAAAAGTTTTCACCCTCTATAACCATCAACCTCCAACTTTCCATACTCTTCCACAGAAGTTTCATGTAGCCTCAAGTAGGAAGCCTTCAAAAGAGGGCAGTTACCTTGGAAAGCACTGGATTGGGTTCAAGGCTGAAGCTAACTGTTCTTAGAATTTTCATCTCCAGATACAGAAAGTACAGCGGAAGAAACGCCACAAAAAAAGACAAAAACTTTTCCACTAAGAATATGCCTAGAAACTTCTTACTGTGCTTCATTCTTAAACTTTGACTAATTTAAGATGAGAAGCAATGCAGAAAATGCCCCATATTAATAATCCATTGTCACAGAATTTGGGACTTCATCAAATCAAATATAAAAACAAGTTGTTATGGTTTAAAAATCTTAGAACTGCCAGATTAAACAATTTTTAAGTAATTATAAGCCATGAACCCCATCCTATGTCCCAAGTTTAGACTATCATATGTAAAATACCTCTTTACCAAATAAATACGAAAGCACCCTAAATATCTACAAAGATCTCATCTAAAAGTATTTTTTAAATTGTACTTTTAATGATCAAAATACAGAAATACACTTCAGTACAATATAGTATAATGTACTTAGATTAAAATATTTTCAATATTCTTTTAACAGAGAGATTCAAAGGTCAAAAAAAACTTTGAGAAAATTAAACAAAATTTATATGCTTTAACTAGTACAAAATTCATACCTTACAGGTGAGAGCAAAGGTCCATGTCTGGTGGGATTTTTTGGTGCTGACAGTAACTGACAGGTCAGGATTGTGCTCTACCTTTACTCCTTCTATACATTCACTAAGCTGAAAATAGACAGCAATTTATGTTATATTTTTATTGCTAAGGGTACAAACAAAATCCTTTAGCATGGAAAATAAATGTCAACAGTAAAGATGATGATGGAACTGTATACAGAGCAAAGTATTTTATATCTTCATTTTCAGTAACTTTGATAAGAACAAAATATAGTAAAGCTAAAATAAGGGAGGGAAGAAAACTCATCACCACCACAGATCGGCACTCAAAAACTGCCTGAATGAAGATAATTAATACAGTACAGGCAAATCTCCAAACAAATGACTTAGTTCTGCTTTTTAACAAATGGGTCTACTATGGCTATTAAAACCATCATTCTATCAGAATCAAATTCTTTGCAAAGAAGATAAGGAAATAAACCAAAATAGACAAAGTCAAGACTCAAACAAATTCATTGTTTAAGACAAACAAAAAATAATGTAGCTTATTTTCCTCACCACTTTCTCAGGAGACAATGAATTCATCCACTTTTCTATCAAGGTTTCCATGTAACTGCCTGAGAGCTGTTTATTCTCATTTTGCTGTTTCAATTTTATCAGCCGTGAAGCATATCTTTTCTGCCATTCTGCTAGTTCTTCCTGGGAATGTGCTGAAGTACACTGGGCACCATACCTACAGATTCCTTGCTCTAAAAATCTAAGTAGAATAGGAAAGACTGTTTTATCACATACTTTGTTGAACCATTTAAAAATAAACTCCCAGCATTTGCCCTCTGACTTCTTCATTAAGAAAAACAAAACTTCATGTGCTGAAAGGTCATGTTTATCATACTGTCTTGTACAAATGAGGGAGAAGAGGTTTAGAGAACATTTAGAACAGTTAATCAAAACATCGACTCCCCATATTCACTGACTTTCTTTGGAATTAGGGGATCCTAAGGCATAGGTTTTCATGTCTGCCCTCCAAAAGAGACACTGAAAAGTAGCTTCCTTGGTCATATAAGGACTCTATTAGACAATTCCTCTTAGAATTTTTTTTTTTTTTTGAGACGGAGTGTCAATCTGTTGCCAAGTCTGGAGTGCAGTGGTGCAGTATCAACTCACTGCAATCTCCACCTCTGGGGTTGAAGCAATTCTCCTGCCTCAGCCTCCCTAATAGTTGGGATTACAGGCACCCACCACTAAGCCCAGCTAATTCTGTATTTTTAGTAGTGAAGGGGTTTCACTATGTTGGCCAGGCTGGTCTTGAATTCCTGACCTCATGATCCACCAGCCTCAGCCTCCCAAAGTGCTGGGATTACAGGCGTGAGCCACCACGCCCAGCCAGAGTAGAAATTTTTTAAAGCAACACTGACATCAAGTGGATTTGCTGCTCACACACAGGTATACCCTACTTCCCAAAATGATAAGGACCTAAAGAAAATTTTCTACATATGGGAATTTCATTCTGGAAAAAAAGTTAACAAATGATTAATTACCATTTTAAGGCTTTTACTTTTCACCTTTAAACATAGTGATTTTACTGTTTTCTACATTACTATTACCTATATTTCCCTGAAAATATATTAACTTGAAGTTTTAAATAAATTTAGAATAAAAGTTTTATATTACAGTCACAAATTTATTCAACAGTCATGTTAAATTCAAGGGAATAAATTATAAATGTTCATTTTAAAGGATACAGAGACAATATTTCTCAATGTTTATAACAGAAAATCCAACTGATAATTCAGTGATCAAAAACAGATAAAAATAAAATACTTTGTTTTTTTTTTTTTGAGACGGAGTCTTGCTCTGTCACCAGGCTGCAGTGCAGTGGCGCAGTCTCAGCTCACTGAAATCTCCACCTCCTGGGTTCAAGCAATTCTTCTGCCTCAGCCTCCCGAGTACCTGGGACCACAGGTGTGTGCCACCAAGCCCGGCAAAATTTTTTGTATTTTTAGTAGAGACGGGGTTTCACCATATTGGCCAGGATGGTCTCAATCTCTTGACCTTGTGATCCGCCTGCCTCGGCCTCCCAAAGTGCTGGGATTACAGGTGTGAGCCGCCGTGCCCAGACTTGATTTTGTGTGTGTGTGTGAGACAGAGTCTTGCTCTGTCACGCAGGCTGGAGTGCCATGGCGCAATTTTGGCTCACTGCAACCTCCGCCTCCCAGGTTCTAGTGATTCTCCTGCCTCAGCCTTCAGAGGAGCTGGGATTACAGGTGCCCACCATAATGCCCAGCTAGTTTTTGTATTTTTAGTAGAGATGGGGTTTCACCATGTTGGCCAGGCTGGTCTCGAACTCCTGACCTCAAGTGATCCACCCGCCTCAGCCTCCCAAAATGCTGTGATTACAGGTCTGAGTCACCACACCCAGCCCTGATCATTAATTTTAAAAAAAGTTTTAAATACCCTGAAAAATTATAAGCAAAGCCAGTTTTTAAATAAAAATAACTAAAAAACTGATAAAGAGATCTTCTGAGAAAAAATAAAAATTAAACTAGAAATATAACTAAACATAAATATAATAAAAACTATGAATAGCAAAAAGAGATATTATATTACAGACCATTTTTCAATTGGAAAAAATATGTATAGTAAGAAATTTTAAAAATGAGTATATTTAAAACTTTTCCTGATGGTACAACAAAGCACTGAACTTAAAATTATACTATTTATTAAATTCTCTTACAATTCAGAAGACACATTTAAAATCATCTATTTATGTTTCTTTTCAATATGTCTTAATGGGGCAAAATCTTTGTCTTTCTATTGCTTGGCTTTAAATTATTTCCCTAAAAAGTGAAAGTGTTATATTCTTAATCTGTACTTCAAATCTTCTCATATTTCCTTTTTGTAGGATTGTGTTCTATCTCTTTTACAACATAACACCACTAGAATTTTCAATACTTACACATTAGTTTCCTGACTATTCAATAATCAAAACCATACAGCAAATTTCCTTCACTATCAAAAGCAATCTAAAGAGGTGGTGAGAATTTATATCTAGAAATCCCACCAGTTATAAGTTTTTACAAAAAGAACCAAAGAATTCACCATTTTAAATGTAACTTTAATTATTCCTTCCACATTATTAAATTGTAAAAGGTTAGCCCTTCAATATGAATTATTCATAAATTCTACATAAGAATTACATGAATATTTTTCAGAAAGGTTATTAAAATAATTTAACATTTATTTTATGCTGTACTTTTTACATAAAGTACTGTCAACTTCAGTCACCATACAATCTAAGTAAATTTCACATTAACAAATGACCATGGGTAGGTGTGGTGGCTCACATCTGTAATCCCAGCATTTTGGGAGGCCAAGGCAGGAGGATCACTTGAGCTACGGAGTTCTAAACCAGCCTGAGCAACAAAGTGAAACCCCAACTCTACAAAAAAATACAAAAATCAGCCAGGCTTGGTGGTGCATGCCTGTAGTCCCAGCTACTCGGGAGGCAGAGGTTGTAGTGAGCTGTGATCAAGCCACTGCACTCCCATCTGGGCAACAAAGACTCTGTCTCAAAAAAAAAAAAAAAAAAGTAGGGAAATTACGTTCAGCCATAATAATACAACTGGTATTATAAAAGACTACTGAGGCTGGGCAAGGTGGCTCACACCTGTAATCCCAGCACTTTGGGAGGTCAAGGCAGGCAGATCACGAGGTCAAGAGTTTGAGACCAGCTTGGCCAACATGGTGAAAGCCCGTCTCTACTAAAAATACAAAAAATTAGCCAGGCATGGTAGCACGTGCCTGTAGTCCCAGCTACTTAGGAGGCTGAGGCAGGAGAATCACTTGAACCTGGGAGGCAAGGCTGTAGTGAGCCAAGATCATGCCACTGCCCTCCAGCCTGGGCAACAGGGTGAGACTCTGTCTCAAAATAAATAAATAAGTAAAAAATGAAAGACTACTGAACAGTCTTAACAACCTGCATTTAGATCACTGTCGTTTAGAATTAAAGACGACACATCAATATGGTTTTGACTTTTATTATTTAATGATAGTGACCGTTATGGCTTCTGTTTCAAATTGAAAATAAACCATTTTACCCTACTAGATAAGGAAAATTATCTGTCCTTTCAACAAGACATGTCATTGTTTAAAAAAAAAATTCACATTACCTTTTACACAAAGTATATTCCTCGCTGCTCGTGATTCCCCTAGGTGGTGGGCGGAAATGCCAACCATTACAAGACCCTAAGGAGTAATTAGGATATAGTATTATCATTTGAGGCTAGCCAGTAATTCTGATATTCTAACATGTAAAAAAAAAATACTACAATCCCTCCACATACATCATCCCATATGATATAAAAAAGAACATGACATAGTTGCCCCTACCAACAAAGTAATCTACCAATCAACTACATAAAACCTACATAGAAATCACTCAAGAAGCAGTTTCGGCCAGGCACAGTGGCTCATGCCTGTAATCCCAGCACTTTGGGAGGTCGAGGGGACAGACTGCCTGAGGTCAGGAGATCAAGACCATCCTGGCCAACATGGTGAAACCCCATCT